TTCAACGATGAAAGTGGCCTCTTAAACGGTGGGAGGGGACTCTCGAGGAATGATAGGGGCCTCTTTAATGATAGGAGTGGACTCTTGAGGGATGACAGGCGAGTCGGGCTTCTTCTTGCGGTGTCTTCGCACTATTGGGGTGTACGGAGACTTAATAGCACGTGCACGCCGTCTGATGCGTGAACTCTGTCGTGCAAGAAAAACCCGACGTAAAGCATCCACCTTATCGGGCCGCTAAATAATTAAATACAAAAATCAGTAAATAAACAGACATGGTATTTAAACAGTGAAAACAAAGACAAATATGTTTCAAACTTGCATTGAATTCACCCAAGTCATTATTCTATCATATTTCACAAAATGCATCAGATAACAAAGACAAATATGTTTCAAACTTGCAATACTGTCAACTTAGTATTTGTCTTTGTCTATTGGTTGAAGTAATGCAATTCATTCAAGTTTCAATTTGCAGAAGAAGAATAGTTTCTGGAACTTAAAATCACAACGTGAAAATGACTATCGCAACGAGAGAATGAAAATCGCAACGAGAGAATCGCAACGCGAAATGAAAATCGCAACGAGAGAATCGCAATGCGAAATGAAAATCGCAATGCGATTATAGTTTCGCGTTGCGATTTTGTCGTTGCGATTTTCATTTCGCGTTGCGATTCTCTCGTTGCGATTTTCGTTTTGCGTTGCGATTTTCATTTCAACCAAAAATCAAAATAGTGTTGCTAAAATATAGTTTCAAGAATAAACTATTTCTTCTTCTTCTGCAAATTGAAACTTGAATGGATTGCATTACTTCAACCAAAAGACAAAACAAAGACAAATACTAACTTCAGAGTATTAAAGAATACACAGTTTAGCAGAATTGGCAGCAAACGAATAAATTTACTTTCAACCAAAAGACAAAACAAAGACAAATACTAACTTCAAAGTGTTAAAAAATACACAGTTTAGCAGAATTGGCAGCAACCGAACAAATTTACTTTCAACCAAAACACAAAACAAAGACAAATACTAACTTCACAGTGTTAAAGAATACACAGTTTAGCAGAATTGGCAGCAACCAAATAAATTTACTTCAACCAAAAGAAAACAAAAGGCAAATACTAGCTTCACAATGTTAATAAACAGTTTAGCAGTATTGGCAGCAACCGAATAAATTTACTAAGCAATCTAAGTGAAATAGTTAATCTAAGTGAAATTACGAGTAAATTTATCATCAAGTTAAATATGGAAAATCTTAAACTTACCTCTACTTGCGTAGAGTATGAACCTCATTCTGCAACAATACTACCATCTCACGTAGAGCGGCAACCTCACCACGTAAAGTAGACACTCCACACGCCATGCACCATCGTTCTCGCTTAGAGTACCGATCTCCTCACGCAAGGCATTAACCTCATCACGTAACTCCCTTGACTCATCCCGTGGAGGTGGAGGTGGAGAACAGGGAGATAGAAGTCGTGGCATCTTTTCCGGTCGCCTATCATGAGGTGATGGTGGAGAAGAGACTCGATGATGTGACGGGATAGGTGATGGCTCTCGTTGTAGAGGTATATAGTCGGGTCGATCAGGTGATGGCTCTGGGTGAGGTGATGGCTCTCGAAGTGGAGGAAGTGGAGGCTGCTCATCATTCGTGCCATCAAGAAAACACTGACTAGCTTGCCACCAATCAGTGGCAAGCTCAGCCTCCGTGGGTGTCAGTCTCATTAATGGAGTGTTGGCCTCCTAAAAATATAATAACTCAAACAAAGTTAAACGTCTACTATTAATAACTTGTTTATATATGATAGTATTTGTCTTAACTTACATTATTTATTGTCGCATATGGTATTAGGTATTCCCAATCCAACAGACGTTTCCTCTTCTAGGAAATAGCCCTAGGAATATCATTTGAAGTTTTTAATGCATATGTCCGCATGCTGGGGAAAGCCTCGAATATCCAAATCTACAAACAATATAATAACAAACATTAGTAATTGTTAAATAATTAATTATAATTTTGAAAACATTATATAGAAATTCTTACATTAAAGGCCCAAACAAAGCCTGACAAAGTGTATTTTGACCCATCGCCACGCAAACTTTTGCGGTCATCAAAGGCAGACGACAACTTAGTCCAGGTAGCTTTCCATATATACGAACCCCACGGAAACAGATTCCATGCATTTAGGTCCTCTACCAATAATATTAGCTCCTGAGGAATAGGTTGTCTGGCCTCTCTGCCTAAAAAGCCGGCATACAAAAGTACTAGAAGGCATACTCGGACAGCATTGACGTCATTCATCCGAGTAAAACCATATTTCTTATTAAACAATTTCTTCAGGTCGTCGACGTGTAAGTTCGGCTTCTTTATTGACTCATCAGGAAAAACCCTGGATAACCATGATGGGCGGGTGATATGATGAGTGTACCGGCCTACATCATCGTGTCCGAATCGTAGACCAGTGATTAAGAAGAACTCCTTCCGCCCAAAACAAGTATACGCCGGTGGAAAATGAAACCATATCTCTTCCTCACCACGTTGTATACTGTCGAGTAGATCGCTAGTCATGGTCTGAAGCCACAAATGGGTCAAATTAGCATCTCCACCCGGATGTTGTACTCTCAGCCATGGCCTGAAGCAGGTTTCCTCAAACAATTTTCTTTGTGCAGGTGAAAGCTTCGAAGCAATTGTAGTCGCTAGGCTAACTTTATTCCTTAATATCAATGAAGCCGAAAAAAAATTCTACAAAAACAATAAACATACCAAGTTAGATATACCAAAAACTACACTGTGAAGATATACCAAAAACAATAAACATAAATAGTAGTTTATTCTTGAAACTAAAATTTGCAACACTGTTTTGTCTTTTGGTTGAAATGAAAATCGCAACGAGAGAATGAAAATCGCAACGCGGAAATGACTATCGCAACGCGAAATGAAAATCTCAATGAGAGAATCGCAACGCGAAATGAAAATCGCAATGCGATTTTGGTTTCGCGTTGCGATTATATCGTTACGATTTTCATTTCGCGTTGAGATTTTCATTTCTCTCGTTGCGATAGTCATTTTCGTGTTGTGATTTTCATTTTCATGTTGCGATTTTAAGTTTAGAAACTATTCTTCTTCTGCATTATTCAACCAAAAGACAAAACAAAGATAAATACTAACTTCATAGGGTTAAAGACTAAACAGTTTAGCAGTATTGGCAGCAATCGAATGAATTTAATAAGAAATCTAAGTGAAATGGTTAATCTATTATTGAAATTACCAGTAAATTTATCATCAATTTCAATATGAAAAACCTAAAATAATTCAAAATTTTCAAAATAAAATTAATTAAAAAAACTAACCCTCGGAGGTTGATTTTCCATTTCTGAATGATTGTGAGAGATTTCTGACCGTAAATGGTTGTGAGGGATTTCGCCGGAGATGGGGACGGAAATCTTCGGAGATGGGGACAGATTTCGCCGTAGAGAGTGAGAGGTGGAGATGGGACTGAGTTGTGATTTTAGGTTTTAGGTTATGAGTTGCGATTACGGGATATACTGTGGACGGTTCAGTTTCCGATATATTAATATATTCGTGTTTGGAATTTGAAAAAAAAAATACGCGTTAATACGAATGGCGCTATGTAAATCGCATTGCGATAGTCAGATTCGCATTGCGATTTACGTAATCGCAACGCGAATTTGAGAAATCGCAATGCGATAGTCAGAATCGCGTTGCGAATCTGGAAACTGATTTGCGATACCGGAGATCGCGTTGCGAATTATCGATCGCATGCGATTTAGTTGGTCATTTTGGCAAATCCAAAAAAAGTTGGTTAAAATCGTATATTATAAGGCATTTTTGATCACTGAGGTTATTTTCTCTTTATTAAAAAGGGCCGTAATTTTCAGTTTTGCATAAAATCGAAATTAAATTAAATTTTATTTTTTTAAATCCGGCTGCTCATAAAACAGTAATAAAGGAAAGTAGAAAGGGGTAGATCTGGAAAACGAATAAAACCGGGGACAGCATGGTTTATTTATGTCGCGCTAAACCGTGTTTCCCAAGAGTTTCCGCCGCCCATTATTTGAACTTCTTACCAAACTAGAACTGAATATATACACAAAAGGCTTAATACTGAAAAAATCCTCAAACTATACATCAAATTAAAATTTAATTTAAAACTTCAAAAATATATCAATTGAATCCACAAACTAAAACTAGAGTATCATTCCTATCAAATCTTTTAACAAATTCACAAATAGTTGCTATGTTTAATGTTAGTTTGTATATGACGTGTTTAAAAGAATTTATTAATTCACAAATTTTTTTATCAGTATAGGGTGAATAAAAGATAGTATTTATTCAAAGGTTTTTAATCATTTGACTATGAATGCTCATACATTTGTATAGGAAGTGTTTGAACCCATGTCTCAAGGGATAACAACAATCTCTTAATCATGGAGGTCATAGATGGATCAAGCGGGTCGGAAGGGGCAATCAACCCCTGAAAATTTATATATTTTAAATTTTTTCTATGTATTTTTTTATTTAAAATATTTTAATTTTAGAATTTTAAAATTCTTTTTTAAAATTTTAGAAGTTCGCTCCTATAACATAAAATTTTACATCAGTCCCTGATTAATTTCGCTTAGTTCATACTAATTCACACATGTTTATATAAAATGAATCATAGTAAATCCAAACTAGCATTTAAGATTACGAATGACAAACCCTAATTGAAACAATACTTTAACTTAAGAATTCAGTAGAAACATGGTGAAGTTCAATGACTAATTTTTAATTTAATCCACCACTTGAGGGTTTCTAGTGAAATTAAGTGAAAAACTAAAACTTGTTTTCTCCTCTATTGTCTTTCCGCGTACCAAACGCTCGAACGAAATTTACATGATACGGCGCCTTGTACGATATTATTCATTATATGCTATAAATACCAACCTTCTCTTCCCCAGCACCTCAAAAATTCAACAAAAATATACAGCAAAACTACGAAAAAATGACGAAGAAGAAAAGTGATGTAGCTCAAAGAGCATGGAATCTGCTGCGTCTGGCATTGTTATGGGCAAGAAAAGGCGGCGTTTTCAAGAGACGGCTGATGATGGAACTCCGATTGCTCCCTAAGTTCATCAAGAGTCTTGCACATACGTCGACTCGTAATGATCACCAAATGATTAACAGCCGCCAGCTATCGTTCGACGAGACGCCCATTTTTCACTTCAAGGTCCACCATCACCGTCTCGCCTCCATGAGGTTCCTTCTCCCTTGCATCAGGACCGAGGAAGTCGATTTCGATTACGATTTCGGCATCGACGAATACGATTATAATAATGGAAGAGAGAGTAACTTGCTGGGATCGGAGTCCTACGTCGAAGAAGAAGAAGTGGAAGAGTGTGGATACGAAGGGAGTGATGAGAAAGAAAATAGTTGGTATCCATATTCATATGAATTCGAGGATGAAGGGATTGATTCAAAGGCTGAGAAATTCATAGCTAAGTTTTATGAGCAAATGAGGTTGCAGAGACAGATTTCTTATTTGGAATATGCTGAAAGAGGCTCCAAAAGTTAGAATCTTTGTCAACTTCATCGTTTTTCATAGTCAACAGTACCTACACTATTTTTCTGAATTTGCTGGTTTTCCAACAAACCTTCAGTAGGAGATGATCGGAATCGGATGCTGCAGTTTTAGTGTGTGTAAGCAACTACTATTCGATTGTGTATAGTTTTAGCAATAAGAATTAAAGTTTTTTCACTTTGATTGCAAAATAATTGAGGGTTCATAAGTTTTCGTATGTGTTTCATAAGGATGCCACACGACCTTCCCACACATGTACAAATAAATGCAGTCTTTTCCTCATCATTTTCTTTTCTCAAAAGATATTAATAACAAATTTGTTTAGCAATTCAGCTTTGCGTTGCTTCGACTTCCCGCATGAATCTAACTTCCAACGTAAAGATTGCTTAATGACAAGGGTAATCAAAATCAAAAAACATAAATTATACACAAACCAATGCTTTAAATTTAGTTGGTTGATGTGAATAAATGGATTACGGCCGTTATAGATGGTTCACCTTTTCTAAGTTAAGCGGTGTGTTGTAGTCGGTCAAACTATTATATCTCCATAAGGAGGTAGAAAATAGGAGTGAAGACAAGATGGTTCCATCTAGGTTACATCATTTTTTCTCAATCTTGCTCAAGAAATTTTATAGTGACTCTTGGACTTGTGTCAGCATAAGGTCATTGTGTCTACCCTAAGGCTAGTAGACTAAGTAAACATGGTCAACTGACGATAGATTTGGATTTAGTAGATCACATGAATCTATTAGAAGCCATGTCAAGTTACCGCGATTTCACAAGGAATGTTTGATATTCGAGGCCCTTTCTCTAGAGAAATTCTTTTTATATCTTTCGAAGTTCCTAGAGAGTCGGAGACTAAGGAATCTTCAGTATTCTTCGGAGGTCCTTAGACATGGGATAATACATAGATGTATTTCGGCGAAGGTATAATATTTTTCCCATTATTGAAAAGATGTCATAAAGTAACTTGACCTAAGACCAGTGTTTTGAAAACCGGACCAAACCGACCGGTTCAACCGGGAACCGCTGCCTAGTCCGATTCAATCTACACCGGTTAAACCGTTACTATTGAACCGGCCGAAACTACTCTAACCAGACCGACTGAAAACCGAAAAAAACCATCAATTTTGTTTTTTTTTTTAAATTAAACCAAACGACGTCGTTTGTTAAACGAGCCAAGTCGAACTCGAGTATTGCTGAGCTCGACTCGAACTTGAAAACTTTAAAAGTAAGCACAACTCGACTCAAACTCACGAGTTAAAAATTATCAAGTTCAAATCGAACTCGAAATATAATATTGAAACTTGAACTCAAAAAGACTTGAACTCAAAAAAAAATTTAGAAGCTCAATTGAAGACTAAAATTCGAGCTTGATTGAAGTGAAAGAATAATTCACTCAATGCTCACCAAAAGGCTCCATGATTTTGAATGTCAAATTACCTCTATTATTTATAGAAGTTAGTTGGGATGCTCTTCTATGTTTCTTAGCCATGTGGGATTGTTTTGTTCTCATATTTTTACTCTTTAGACTTTTGGGATGATCTTCTATGTTTCTTAGCCATGTGGGATTGTTTTTTAAAAAAAAATTAAACCAAACAATATCATTTTGTTATGATTTTTTTAGCCCCAAATTTATTTTTTTGATTATAGTTATATAATTATATTTATTATTTAATATGTTTTACCTTAAATATTATGTTATAGTTAATTTGAATCATTTGTTTCACTTGATTTTATGGTTCTTAACTCATATATGTTATGACTTGTGATATACAAAAAAATTTTTATTAAATATTTTTGGTATTTTTATTTAATTTTTTAAATAGTTATGACGTCGTCCGGTTCTTCCGACCGATCAGACCGATTCTACCGATTGAACCAATAAACCGATAATATAGCCAGTTCGCTAACCGATCCGGTTCTGAAAACCATGCCTAAGACCTAATTGTTGAAGCGTTATCGGTGTTTTAATGGGATGTTTTTTTTAGGAAATATCATTTATTATCTCTCGAACGACTCAAAGGCTTAAATGTTTGATGCCTTCTATTTAGCGTTGTGAAATGACACACTGTTTCAAGCATATTAAATATAACCCCTTTACCCGACTTAGAGGAAATAAGTCAGAACTAAAGAATCCACATGAAAACTTGTCCCTTAAGAGAAACATATTTAAAATATAATGACGTAAAAATTACCATTTAAATTATTAATACATTTCTCAATTCAACCTTCAAAATTTTATTAATATCAAAAGTTTGAAAATCTGAAACAAATATAATAAATATCTAAAAATATGTATGCGTAAATAGTTCAAAAAATATTTAATGTCCCAATACATAAATAATGGTCTCAAATAATAAATAAAAATACTATAAATGAAACCAAATATATTTCATAGGAAATTGAAACACCCTTAACCCAATACACGAGTTAAGATGTCACGTCAATCATATAAAATATTTGTTTTACAAATCCAAAAAAATGTTTCTTTAAAGTTTTCAAATATCATTTATTTACTCTAAATCTATTAATTGTGTAAAATCATAAATATATATATTTTGACTTTCAAATTAAAACCAATTTCAGACAACAATTAGACAATTCTATACTATTTCATATGATACACAATATTGTCTAAAAATTGTGTAATTTAAAAAATCAACTTATTAACTTGTAAAACATGATTTGCTAATATATTATTCATTTTTACTACTAACTATATTTAGAATTTCATACTTAAAATACCATTAACTTTTATATTACAAAATCTTTTATAACTACCATACCAGAGTAGCTAAAATTCTTTAATATACGTGCTATTATCTAAGAAAAAACAAAGTGTGATGTCCTTACTAATTCTGGAGGCAGATTTGATTCCTCAGAGATGATACTGATAAATTCCCTACTTTGTTCGCTTACTCGTACTTACGTGTGAAACAATTCACTTGAGTGGCTCATTAGATGTATGGATGTCGGCGGTCCCTCTGATATGTTATGATATTGTCGAGTGGTATCCAATTGATCGCATGCTCCACCAATTTAGTTTCGTACAACATATTCCTAAAGCACCTAATAATCTCGACAATATACATAACGTCGATAGATGGGGCAAAAAGGATGTCAACTGGCTGTTGAAGCATAGCGGGTGGATAATGATCTAAGAGGATCGAAGTGGATGCATTCCCCTTAGGGAGCCCATTTATGTGGACCATTATTTGGTTGTGGATGACTATTATGAGTGGTTCAACACAAACGGAAAGTCATTCCTATTTTCTGAGGAAACACAAGGCGAGAACATTCATTGATGTCGAGAAAAAGTCAACCGTTACAGCTTCACTTTCCCCCCGACTCGTGGATGAAAAGTAGGTGCTTCCGGCTCATCCTCAATTGCAGCACAAGAACCATCAAAACAACCACCGTCTACACTAGTTTACATTCCCATCCGTCACTATACATAGGTACACCTCTTGTTCTGATGGCACCGCAGTCGTTGCAGATGGTACCGTAGCCATTTCAGATGGCACCACAACTGTTTCAGATGACACCGTAGCCATTTCAGATGCCACCGCAATCAATTCATACGCCACCATAATATGTTCATATGCCACCACTGTAGGGTATTATGACACCTGGCGGATATTATACTGACATGCTTATAAATCCAACGTCGGCTTCATATGCTGCTTATTTGGCGGGTGGTGATTCACCACAGACACAAATACCTCTGAATTAGTATGGATCGTAGTCATCATTGTTGACGTTTTTATTCAGTTTTCACAGTTTTCTATGAGCGGTGGGATGATTAGTCATACATTTCCAGAGTCCATATTCTATGGAGGTGCTACATCGTCATCTGTCCCTCATCAACAAAATGTAGCTGCTACTACTGCTGATAATGACGATGAGAGTGAGGAGGAAGAGCAAGTTATACGAAGAAACCCTCATCGAAAAAAACATCGCCTTGTAGAACACATTCAAGATGCAGACATGATAGACTTGTTTAGTTTGTAATGTTTTTATCTAATTTTCTTTGTTTATCAGCAAATGTATTGGATTATGGACTTCTTATTTATTTTGTTTCTTAATGTTGTTATTATTTAATTGTTTGAATTGTAACGTTTGTATTTAATGTTTCTATTTAATTATTTTTACCATTTAGTTTGTAATGTTTTTATTTAATTTTCACTTGAGTATCCCATTACTTGTTGATGCTCAAATGACATTAATTGAAAGTAAAAAGAGAGAGGAAATAACAAAAATTGAGATTTCATAAACTATAATTACATTTTGATGCTCAATAGTTACGTGATGATAAAAGAGATGGACATTTTTCCTATTGTGGCCTAGGTTTCTATAATGCCCACATCTTTTGTTTTTTTGGACGTCTGTCGAATATCCATATCACAATGAATTCGAGTGGATTTTGGGCGACCTTCTTCCCTCAATAAGGACAGATCTGGTACAATCGGAAGCCAATTCTTAACCTCATCTGGGTCTTTTTTATTACCTATCGGGGGGACTCAAATTCATATACCTTAAATACGGTTGTAAGTCGGTATACAAGATCCAAAAAACGGTTATAGTTTTGACGGGTATAATAGCAAGATACTATGACATTGGAGCATGGATACTTCAGAGCTTGAAAAAACCCACAATTACACCACATGTCTTGTAGATTAACTTGAATCGGAGAAGCTTGTTATAGACATTTCATTTGATGCAACAATATTTTTTTGTAGATCTGCAACTAATCTTGGGTTATAAACATGGTCGTTTTGCATCAAAGTTTGAGCTTGTCCCATGATCTTGGCAAAAAGCGCTCCTAAATAAAAATACGTCATTTTAACCAAAGATGTTACTGGTAAATAGAGTGCCCCCTTTAAGGTCGAATTGATTAGCCTCAGCCAAGTTTGTTGTCATATGTCCTTATCATATCCACCATCATATCCATTAGTCCATATTTTTTTTGTTGATAAGGCTAATGTAATTGTATCCTTGCTCGTTTTTTCCTCGCACATCTTGAAGCATGGACTCAAACATTTGAGATAATAGTTCGTATGCTGCACGTCAAATGTATTACTTACTTTTAAGTTCCCATAAAAAATGAAAATGATTGAGAAATGAAATTAGGCATTGTGACACCCATGCACATAAGTAATTGACGTTCATCATTATTCTTAAATTTTGCATGATAGTTCGCAACAATATGACAGATACAATACCGATGTTGGACATTAGGTGATTGTCACATTGGACCTAAAGAGTCCATTGCTTCTTTGATCACACGGTCTGAAATGATGCATGTTTTCCCCTCATGACAACATGTAATTGTAAGTTTCTAAGGAAAAAAAAGGCTAAGAATATGTATCTTCACCTTTAACAATGGCAAAAGCAACTGCAAGAATGTTGTGATTACCATCTTGGACAACTACCAATAGTAAAACTTGCTTTTATTTTCCATACAAGAATGTCCCATCAATTTGGACCACAAGCTTGCAGTATTTCACAACATTAATGCATTGTGGGTAAGTCTAAAAAAGCCTATAGAATTGGCATCGATCGCGAAACACTTGATCATTTTTGTATGCATGACAAGTTTTAAAGTCAACTATTGTCCTAGGATTCAGTATGCACACTACCCTAAACCAACTTGGTAGTTTGTTGTAAGATGAATCCCATACGCCCTGAAGTTTTTTTAATGGTATTCTACTTTACCTTCTATATTTTTCTGTAAAAGATGATGTACCCATATTGAGACTATATAGCTAAAATTAGCACCGCAATAGTTATAAGGGAGCTTTCTTTGACCATGGGCATAATGGCTTGACAGATAATGTCAGAGTCCAAGTTGGGATGGTCCTGATTGATCCCTCTAGCATAACATGTATGAGGATCGTTGTATATTGTTAGCTCTTATATGTTGTTTTTCCTATTCCTCTTCGATACATGAACCATCTAAGTACATCTGTTATCACGTTGGACACAGTGACAGACATACTTTTTAGTGGTGGATCGATCGACTCTAGAGTGAACAAAATTATGAATGTGTAATTCTTAATTGCAATTATCACTTCTTCTTTGGATGGAAACTCTAGTACGATATATAACTCACTATCAATGACCGATTAGTTAAATCTTTAGTCACCAACATTAGGCATATCCGTAAATTTTGGCCCATACATTACATCATAGTCAGATTTATACATGTGTGTTGGAAGTTCAATGTATACCTTATTCATGGGAACTTCATTTACATCATCATCATTAGAGTTCATGTTGAACTGCGGTGATTCTGGTTTAACAAATAGTCCAGTCTAAGCATCATCTGCACATGGCTCATGAAGAGGTTATTCTGGTGGAGATGAGGATTCATCTGTGATGATGATATTTAGGTCAAAATGATAGTTGAATTCCATCCCATTGAACTTGAAGGCATCGTGTCATACGGGTTTTTAACTGAGTGTTGTGTCCCATGCATCTCTATATTGAGATCGAAACAGCTCACAGTTGAATGTCTCCTCACGAACTTGAAAGCATCGTGTCAAATGTGTATTGAACAAATTGATGTGTCGAGGGCATCTCCATATTAAAGTCAAAGAAATTAGCAGATAAATGTCTTCCCCTTGAATTGGAAGCAATGCTATGAAACAGATTGTTCGTGGAGCCACCTCAGTATAGATCGTAACAAGTTGTTGATGAATGTCTCACCATTGAAATTAATGGGATGGTACCAAGTTGTGGATTTCTAATTAACGAGTTAAAATCATTACACATTACTTGAGTTGGACTATCAACCTGATCGGCTAGTTGAACCAACCTATAGTGGGAGCATAATGGCATACCACGATCCATAGACACTTCAACAAATGTGACATACATTTATGTAACAGTGTCTGAATTTTGATTATGAGCATCAACCATTATAGCAACATCATCATTGTTGGAGAGTTCGAATGATGTATAAATTAACGAAAACAGTGTAGTTGAAAATCTGTACTGAAGTGAGGGTAGTCTTCTAATACTTTCAACATGAACTTTCTTTAAAATTTTAGTGACCAGCTCCTCAAAAGTGATGTTTCTCTTGAAGGATAAGGTGACAGAATAACTTGATACGAAAATAACGTCAGTTTCATCTTCCCGGATTTCTCTATCATAGTAAATAATAGCTGAAATACGCATCATTTTGAGAGTTTGAGAGATTAAAAGTCTTATATATGCAATAATAAATATTTTTTTCTTATATACGACCATTCTCCTAATTAAATAAATAGTATACTAATTAAAATATAAAATAATACTAAAAATTAAAAAAATTAAAAAAATTTAAATAATCCAATTTAATATTGTTACCATATCGGCAGAATGTATCGAGATATAATCTCGCCTTCCATTTTATAACTGCAAAAAAATAATATAATAAAATTTGGTTAAATAAATTAAATATAAAATAAATATAATATAATATAAAAAATAATTTTACCTTTTAAAAACTATAACAAAATCTACTTAATAGAGGGAATTTATAGAAGTAAAAATGTGATTGTAATTTTGGTGTGATTTGAAATTTGGATTTAAGGGTATTTAATAATATAACAGACAATAATTAAAAGGGAATAATCGCAAGCGTGCTTTTATGATCCGCACCAATTTAACGTGTCAGAAAAGCCTGCGAAAGCGTAGATTACAATCCACGCTTTTCCATTGTGACGAAAGCTTAGATAGAATCCCATGAAGCGCCGTGGCTTTCTTCTATGTCTGCAAGGCACGAATCCTTAAACTTGCTTTATTATTACTCTGTCAAAATAAATGTCTAGCTACATAAATATTGACAGGAAAAATGAAAAACAACAAACCCGTTCACACTGTCTACTGTCTAGCTACATAAATATTGACAGCAAATGGACAAAAAAATCCAACAGAATCCATAATCCTACACATGTACTGAAACTCCTAGGAAAGTTAACACTATTATTTTTAAAGTCGCTTGGATGAAAAATAATACTCTCTTTAAGCGATAGATTTAGGAGAGAGTATATGATGAGAGTATTAGGAGAAAAGCCAAGTATGAGTGTCAAAAGTCATGGTTCAATTTATGTGTTTCTCCATTGACAATGTGGTCATTGGATTCCCATAGCCAAGAGCACATGAACTCCTCGTCCCAAGGCTCGTTCCCATTAACAACACTTTCCCACTCCCAATCATCCCCACTATCTCCTCGTCCTCCACTACAATTCCAACTTACTATTTCCTCGTTATTATTAGCTGCCATTTCACTAAAATCCAAATCCCCATGTGGCTGTAGCAATTCACTGTTCGTTATATCATCAAACCAAGGCATCCCATTGCTTTCAATGCTCTCAAGTGGTGCTAAAATCCCACCACTAGGGCACCCCATTGAATTCTCCATGCTGGTTCCTTCCTTGACTTCCACGGCATTAATGGGCAGGGTTTCTTTTCCTAATACTGGAGTGGATGGAAACGGTACCTTTTCATTGACAAGAGGGTTTTCTATAGGTTTCTTGATTGAGGGTATACCGTTTCTTCCTCCTTTACGATTGGCAATGACGGCCTTGTTAACTTCCATGACGACAGGGATTGTGTTGCTAAATGGCCTTCGAAAGCTGTGGATTTTTCTACTCAAATGCGAGTTCCAGTAGTTCTTTATCTCGTTGTCTGTTCTTCCGGGTAAGGTACTGGCGATTAAAGACCACCTGCAGGGCAAACACGATGAAAAAAAGTAAATATTCGATAAAAATATTTTTTAAAAATTAAAATATTTATTTATTTTATTTTATTTTTTAAAAACGGCAGTTTCCACTCATTTCCCGGTACATCAAACGTGAGAGAGAGACAAAAGAGTTTTAAATTTCCCAGACAAAAGACAGATTGATGCAAAATAATCAAATTACAAATGAACTGACAAGCCATGGACCTTAATTAATTTGTTCAGCGATAGTTATACGTCTTTGTTATTGTAGTTAAGGCTAAAGAACGGAACATTTCTTGGATGTAAGAAAACGAATTTAATTGTATTTTTTATAATAGCTTTTTAAAAAGTATATTTATATTATCACATGCTTTTTTTTATAAAAGATTTAGACTTAAATTACGTATCCGTGTTGATTACTACATTATCGAGGGATAATAAAACCACTAAAATCGCTTCAAAAATTCTTATGATGAGTTATTGCATGTTATGTAAATAAAAAATAATAATATTTTATAACAATTTTATGAAAAATTAAATTTATAAGACCTACTTCATTAAATATTTTAAAATGTGATGTGATTTATTGAGCGATGTGAAATAATTTTGTTACTTATTATAGAAATAAAAAATTTAAATTTTTATTTAATGTATTTTTATTAATCTAAATTATTATAAAATAATATATATTCTAAAGACTTATTAATTTGAAATAAAAATTCATTATTCGTGCAATCTCTGCTGCTCGAGCTTATAATTTTAGGGCAAAGCATTTTTCCACCACATAAAGTAGAAGAGAAATATGATTCATTTCAGTCCAGAAAGGGGAGAAATGTGATTTATTTTAAGGTACGTTACACTCTAAAATGAAATTCAGATTTGAACACACGAGAATGATAATCATAATGGGATAATAAAAAAATAACTATTAACGTTTGTAATATCATTTTGACCATTTTTTATTTTGGATTATTCTAGTTTTAAATATTTTATTTTTTATCAAAAAAAAATCTCCGGTGGTTCGATTCCGATTGTCTATTTATTCTTCTCTCTGTTTCAAAGCCTACCTTTCCTTGTGATTATTCCTTCAACTGATGGACTCGAGAAAGTTATTTGGCTGCTCAGAAGGTCACGACCTAGAGTACTTTCCAACAAAGTCTCGCGAAGGAACCCTGACTGTCCTCCTTCCCCCGAGATCTTAGAAGCTGGAATTTACGAATGGAAACTATCTCTTGTGGGACAATTTCTTGGCGTTTCTCCTAGTTTTGCATCAATTCAAAGGATAGTAAACAACTTATGGAGTAAAGCTTTGATGGGTTCTCGATTGCAGGTCAATTCAGCTGAAAATAACCTGTTTATATTCTCTTTCTCCTCTGAATCTGCTAGGAATTGGGTGCTTGAAAATGGCTCATGGCATGTTCATAATAAGCCCCCTATCTTAAGAAAATGGGAGCCAAATCTCAAAAGCCTAAGTTTTAATCTGTCTAAATTTCCTGTTTGGATTCATTTGTTCAATGTCCCATTGGAATTATTTTCTAGAAATGGTCTTAGCTACGTTGACAGTGCCATAGGTGTTCCCATATCTATGGATATTGTAACTGCGTCTAAATCTAAGCTTGAGTATGCAAAAGTTTGTATTGAAATTGGGGCGAATGATACAATTCCTAATTATGTTGATGTTGTGCTAAAAGATGGTCTTACTACCTCGATCTTAGTTGAGGTTCCATGGCTTCCCCAATCGTGTAGGAAATGTAATGTATTTGGTCACAGTGAAAAAAGGTGTGTTCAGAAATCAAAATCTACTTCTACGGTTTCCCAAGTATAGAAAAGAAAGGAAATTTATGTCTCTAAATCTTTAGCCCCTATTGTTGAAGGAATTGAAGCTTTACAGGATTTAGTTAGCACAGACCCTTTAATCAGTGTTAACAATCCTCTTAATGTCAGTGTTGCTGTTAATTCTTCTCATCAAATTCAAAAGCATTAGGGATTGATTCTTCTCAATTTGTTGTCATTAAAAGGGAAAAAGTTTATCATAACTTTGAAGCCCAGACTGAACTTACTATCGTTGATACTACTTCTATTTCTCCTAATGACCCGGATGTTGTTAAAGTTCATGATACTTCAGAGGTTGTATCAAATCAACCATTTATTATTAAAAGGGTAGAGGTAGACCTAGTAAGGATAGTTCTAAAGTCCCTATTGCTGGTTCAAAGAATAGATTTGATGTCCTTAACTTTGTTGATGACAACCCTCCTAACTTAGAAAACCAGCAAAGGAAAGTTAGATCTGCTTCTTTGGGAGTAGCAAGTTTGGTGAATGAAATTAAATAAAAAAGAATGATCATTTAAATAGATCTAAAAGTCTTAATGTTGGAGGTCAATTGGGAACTTCTCCATCCCAATGATCTCAAGTTTCAGGAATATTAGAGGACTTAACAGTCCTTACAAACAAGACAAAGTGATCTATAGAGCTACTCAGAACAATGTTGATGTTTTATGCTTATTGGAGATTAGAGTTAAAGTTGATAAATCCGATATTATATTCAAATCAAAATTCTCGAATTGGAATGTCAATACTAACTATGATTTTGCTATTAATGGAATAATCTAGTTACTTTGGAGGAAAGGACTTGACTTCTCTGTTATTTATACTTTTGATCAAATTATAATTGTTAAGGGTTTCTATAATGGTTCCACTCTTTTCATCTCGGCTACTTATGGTAGCAATAATGGAATTACTAGGAGAATGTTATGGCAACAGTTAAAAGATGTGAGTTCTTTAGTCAATCACTACCTTTGGATGTTAGGAGGAGATTTTAATATCTTTTTGCACTCCCACGAAAGTTCTAATCATGAAATTCTTGATTATTATTTTACTCCTGATATGAAAGACTTTCAAGACATTACTCAAGAGCTTGAGCTGCTTGATCATCCTTTTTTTGGTCCAACATTTACATGGAGTAACAATCAGAAAGATCTTTTTCTTGCAATGAAGCTTGATAGGGTTCTCATTAATCCTAACTGGGCTACTTCTTTTCCTCTTTCTTTTGTTGAATTCACTACTCCTGGTATATATGATCATTGCATAGCTATTGTCTCCATTTCCAAAGAGTCTCCAGCAAACAGACCAAAACCATTCAAATTTTTTAATTTCTTGTCTGCACACCCTTGCTTCATAAATGTGGTTAGGAACTCTTGGCTTCTTAATGCGCAAGGCAACCCAATGCATGTCCTTTTTACTAAGCTTAAAAGACTCAAAACTAGCCTCAAGAAGTTTAACAAAGACAACTTTAGTAATCTTCCTGACCGAGTGAAACTTAAAAGAAGAGAGTTGGAATCTCAACAACTCATTACCTTAAAAGAAGATGAAGGAATTGAAAAGGAGCTTATCCTTCAAAATGATTTGAGGACTCTTAAAAAAGGTGAAACTTTGTTCCTTAAACAAAAGGCCAAAGTTCAATGGATTTAAAATGGTGATAGGAACTCAAAATTCTTCTACTCTATTCTTGCTTTTAAGAATAAGATAGATAACATTTGTGTCCTTATTGATGATAATGGCAACATACTGGAATCTTTTGATGCAATGGCTAAGGAAATAACCAGATTTTTCTTTAATCTACTAGGATCTGTAGATAGCTGAGTCAAGATCATTGATCCTAATATTCTCAAAGAGTTGCTGAATTTTTCTCTATCATCAAAAACTTCATCTAGCCTTGTTAAGGATATTACTGCCAAAGAAATCCAGGAAACCATTTTCATCCAAAGAAATGAAAAAGCTCCTGGACCAAATGGCTTCACTCTCTGTTTCTTCAAGAAAGTCTGGTCTATTGTGGGAGATGATGTTATTGCTGTTGTCAAGTATTTCTTCCAAAATTCTTACATGAATCCAGCTTTTAACTCCACTGTCATTGCTCTTGTTCCTAAAGTTCCCAATCTTAGAGTTGTAAAAGATTTTCGTCCCATCTCTTGTTGTTCTGTAATTTACAAAACCATTACTAAAATTTTAGTTAAAATACTGTCAGAATTTCTTCCAGACATTATATCTTTAAATCTGATAGCTTTTATCAAGGGTAGGAGCATTATTGATAATACCTTTCTTGCTCAAGAAATGGTTAAAGGCTATGGTAGGAAATCAATTTCCCCTAGATGCTCCATGAAAATTAACCTTCATAAGGCTTTTGATTCCCTTCATTGGAGTTTAATCTCTTCTATTATCAAAGCCCTTCTTCTTCCTACAAAATTCATAGCTTGGATTGAGACATGTTTTACTCAAGCAAGGCATTCCATCTCTTTCAATGGTTCTCTTATTGGCTGTTTTAAGGGAGCAAGAGGATTAAGGCAGGGTGACCTTCTTTCACCTTCTTTGTTTGTTCTTGTTATGCATGTTTTCTTTAAAATGCTTAACTTGGCTACTGAAAAATAAGTGTTTGGTTACCACCCAAAATGCAAGAAGATTGGCCTTTACACATCTTTCTTTTGCTAATGATCTAATGATATTATGTAAGGGTAATGTTGAATCTATTATGGGTGTCTTAAGTGTTATTGATCAGTTTTATGAATTTTATAGGCTTCATCTTAGTTCATCTAAATGAGAGTTTTTTGTTGCTGGTAGTTCTTAAAGAACTATGGAGTTTTTTCAACATATCACTGGATTCAAAAAAGGGAGTTTACCTGTGAGATACTTAGGTATCCTTCTTGTTACTCGTAAACTTTCTGATAAGGATTGTCAAGTTCTAATTGATAAAATTAAACAAAATCTTCATCATTGGTCTACTAGGAATCTGAACTATGCTGGCAGACTTGAACTCATTCGATCTGTCCTGTTTAGTGTCTCAAATTACTGGTGCAGACAGTTTATACTACCCAATCGATTTTATTAAAGGTGGACCAGCTCTGTTCCAGATTTTTCTGGAAAGGTGGAGATAAGGTAGCTGCAGGTGCTTGAGTCAGTTGGGAATTCATTTTCTTTTCAAAAGCTGAAAGAGGCCTCGGTCTGAAGAACACTAAAACTTGGAGCAAAACGTGTATTATTGATCTCATTAGGAAAATTCTTGTGAGTGTTGGATCTCTTTGGGTTGCTTGGTTAAGAAACTATGTTCTTGAGGACTTTTGAAATTATGTTGCAGGTTCTAACATGAGCTGGACTGTAAGCAGAATTTTTAAAATGCGTGCTACAACTTACTCAATCATTTCTTCTTCTGGTTCGTTAAAGCTAAGGGACATCTGGGATACAATTCGAAACAAAGGGGAGAAAGTTTCCTGGCGCAAACTAATTTGGTTCCCCATGTACATTCCAAAATTCAGTTTGATTACTTGGATGACTTTGCTGAATAAACTTCCTACAAGAAATAGGTTACTCAAAATGGGAATCAACTCTGAAGAGACTTGTGTTAACTGCAACATCTAGTATGAGACAAGAAACCATATTTTCTCTCAATGTCCTCTTGATATTCGACTTTGGAATTCCATACTGACACTCAACGGGTTGAAGAATGCATTCTTAACTTGGGATGATATGGTTGCTCGGGCTACTTCAACATGGAAAGGGAAGTCACTACTCACCATAATCTTTAAGATCTCATGGACTGCATTTATCTACATATTGTGGAAGAAAATGAATCACAGAATTTTTCAAGTCCGATATAGAACTATCGAAGACTTGCTAAAGTCTATTAAAGAAGCTGTAGGGATCCAACTTAAGGGTAGAAATATTAATAGAATTGATAGTACTAATTATTATCTTTGTAATGATTGGAGTATAGTCTAACCAATTTTTATTTTTTGTAAGTATGTTGTTTATAGTTCTTTTTGTTACAGATTGGTTGATTGTTTTTGTAGCAGATTTCAGCTCATTGGATAATAAAATTCGATTTATCCAAAAAGAATACTGACAAAACATTTGACACGACAATAATTAAACACATATAAAATTATATAATTAATAATATAGGTTGATCGTTAATATATTGATAGTTATTTAACTAATAATTTTCTTTAATGATTTTCCACTAGAAGAAAATATTTTAACCAACAATTAAAATAGTGAGAACTAAAATACTAAGAAAATAAAGATTAAACTGATAATTTATATAAACAAGTGGTTTTATCATTATACTGAATATAAATACAAAGGTAAAACGAATTTAAAAGATTAAAAAAAATAAATGAGGCAGACTAACCTTTTTCCCAAAGAAGCATGCAAATGAAGGATGAGTTCTTCCTCTTGGGAAGTAAAGTTTCCCCTTTTTAAGTCAGCTCTCAAGTAGTTAATCCACCGTAGTCTGCAACTCTTCCCACACCTCAGTAACCCTTCAAAATGCCAAAATAATAAGGGTGAGAACTACATGAATGATGAAAACGCATTAATAAAGAGAAAATCAAGCTTTATATAGGGACGGTCAAAAGATTTCACGTTAACAAAACAAATCATCAATTTTAAGAAAGAACGAATTTATAAAATCTTACGAATAAAAAACAAATCATCAATAAAAATTATAAAGAAAAAAAATCTAAAATCTAAATGATAAAATAATTTTTTTGTATGAAGGACAACTGCTCCCAGCAACCCTTTTCATCGATCCCTGACCTCGGGTATATATTAGAGTACCTGCATTCTTGGGCAATGATCTCCAAGAGCCTTCACCATTAGCTTGAATATACTTGGTCAGTAGCTCATCCTCTTCCGCCGTCCACCTCCCTCTCTTCAACCCTACCTTTTCACAGCAAGGCGCTCTCCCCATGTCCGGGAAGAGTAATAAAACTTAGTCGGTCGCTGGCTAAAATGAGAAGCGACCGAAAGTAACTACACGAGCAGGTTGACTTGTTCAAAAACCGACAATATTAGAACTTGTTTTTTTTTTTTTTTTGGTAATGAAGTGTTGCTATTTGTATGATCGGTTTGTAAAAAGTGAAAGTCGGAAATACATATAGAGGAAAACAAGGGTGTGGTGGCGCAAGTGATTGGGGGTTTGTGTTTGTGGTGACACATGGTGCCACGTTTGGGTTGAGACTAGAGCCATAGAGTGTCGTCGTGGCATTGCTGCCGTCCATAGGGATCATCAAGGGTGTGCGTCTCCCACGTTGAGGCTTAATTCCCTACTACCAATCTCATTCCTCTCTCTACGTATGCGATAAGTCAGATTAAGACTTTAATAGTTTTATTATCACTCAATTAGATTATTTAGTATAAGTAATTATTCACGAATAAAACGATTTTGATGATAAAAGAATTGTTATTTTCTTTTGAGATCTTAAGTTTAAGTATAGAAAATATTAAAGGGATGAGAATTTATTTCAAATAATTGAGATTTATATTTAAATATATCTACATTGTATTTAAATGTTTAATCGAAAAAATATATATGTAATCATTGATTTATTATTTTATTATTTTAACTAATTATAATACTATATTAATTTATCATAAAAGAATTTAAATTTGTATATAATTTTTTTTTAGTAAGCTAAGATGATTACAAGGTAATATATGTTCTAAATACTCTTAACAATTTGACAATGAATGTTCAATCACCTTACTGCAGTCGCTAGTACTCGAACCCATAACCTTTAAGAACAATAACGATTCTTTTAACCACGAAGGTAAGTTGGTTCGTAAATTTGTATTATTTTAAATAGAATATCGACTCATGATATTAGATAAATTTATAATAAATAGGAATTAAAAAAAAGGTTTATAATAAAATGGTAAGCGGTAGGGGTCAGTGTTCGATTGAGTCGAGTAAAGTGAAAATTTTTGAGTTATTTGAGTTGACAATTCCTATTTTATAACTTAAACTTTATTATAATTTTTTTAGTCGAGTTTATAAAATAGGAGTCGAGTTGTTCGATTTTTTTTTGTAAAAAAGAGTTTAGGTCAATGGTAACTCTCCAGGGTATACCTAAGACCAATTTAGATTTACATAAGAATTTACAGATTGTCCACTAAGAGTGATGGTTGTACGATTCAAAATTGATATTACAAGCTCAAATTCCTAAATCTTAACCACTTGTGCCAACACTGGCGTTCAATTTTTTTGTTTAAATTTTTTTGTTTAAATTTGATGTAAATATTTTATAATATTATGGTACTATTTATTCTAATTTAAATAATTATATATAACCATGTACAAAACATATGTATTCTTTTTTATATTTTTTATATGTAATACACATATATCATTTAAAGTTGAATGGCTCAACTCAAATTCAAAATTCTTTCGATTCGATTTAAATTTATAAAATTAAAAATTAAGTTAATTCTAACTATTTTTTAAATCAAATTGAATTTTACTCACCCAAATAAATAAATGATATTTTTGGGTCATATGAATATCTGTTCCCTATATCGAGTGAGTGGTGAGTTAGTGTTATAATGTGTCTTTTGATCACATATATATTGTTATATAATACAAATTTGGAATTTGTTCTAAAAAAACTGTGTTGACTTTTACGATATATGCACTTATAAACAAATTAGAAAATATCTAAAGTACAATAAAATATCTTTAATGTAGTAATGTTTTTTCAATAATTTGAAATTATTATAAAATAATATATGTTTATAATTTTTTTAATCAACGACAATATATGTATACTTTATAGATGTAATTTTTCAAACTTAAAACTTAAAAAATAATATTTCTTTTAGCTATTGAAACCACTCTATAAATTCTTTTGTAGTAAAGTTAGGTAGGTAAATTCCTAAAATTCCAAATTTACAAGTCCAAGAACTTGCATTGCTATATATTTTCGTAAAAGTACTATTGATAAGAGTTAATTGACAAGCAAGCATAACAGGGACGGGGTATAAATTATAAAATTATTTTACATTGAATTAAATTAAATAATTACTTTTAGTAACAGTCAAAAGTAAAATTTCATTTGACTAAAGTATTAAAAGACTTAAATAAAAATTTAATATTAAGAAAGGACTAAAACTATAAATGTTTCATAAATGGAGGGCAAGTCCTTTGCCTGGCCCTTTTGACTTCAGCTCCGTTGTTAAAATGAAATTTCTCCAGGTAAACTACTCTAATGGTCACTAATGTCTGGATAAATTTTTGTTTTCACCATTGATGTTTCAAAAATCACAAATCAACCACTAACGTTATCGTTTGTTACAAAATAGTCACTCGCCATTAACAGGCATGACGGAAAACACACGTGGACTATTAACAGCCGTTAACAGGCTTACCTGGACGGTATAATTACACAAATAGTCCATGTTATTTATATATTCTTTCAATTTGATTATAGTTTTAATAAATTAAAATAAATTTACCTACGAATCAGAAAGTGCCATGTGTAATTGGTTACACACCTGTCACGACACATGTTATCATTTGATTGGAAGACTAAATTTATTTTAATTTATTTTTAATTTAATATATTTATTTCTACCAATCAGAGGGTGATATATGTCACCCAATGACAGGTGTCATGACAAGTGTGTAACCAATGACGCATGTCACCTCCTGATTTGTAGGTAAATTTATTTTAGGGGTTGTTTGTTTATTTCAGAATGATTAAGCGCTGAATGATTCAAATGTTGAATAATTTAGAGGCTCTGTATGAATTAGCTCTGAATGTGACATGCTGCTTGATAATGGCTCTAAATCATTCAGAATGTACTTATGTGATGAATCATTCAGCACTGTTTTGCTGAATCAGTCAGCACTGAATCATTCAGAAATACGAAACAAACGCCCTGAATGCTGAACGGTTCAACATTCAGCGCTGAATGGTTCCATTTAGAGCCAAACAAACAACCCCTTCATTTATTAAAACTAGGATCAAATTGAAAGAATATATAAATAACATAGACTATTTGTGTAATTATACCATCCATGTAAGCATGTTAATGGCTATTAACAGTCCACATGTGTTTTCCGTCATGCCTGTTAATGGCGAGTGACTAGTATGTAACAAACGATAACGTTAGTGACCGATTTGTAACTTTTGAAACATCAGTGGTGAAAACAAAAACTTACCCAAACATTAATGACCATTGGAGTAGTTTGCCCTTTTAAAAAATAGAAATAAATAAGGGTCAATCTCGGTTAAAAGCTTAAATTTAATCATAAACTTTGATTAAATGTTAATGTATAATATAATATATGAAATATAAACTTTGATTTAATGTAACTATACTTATACACATAAAATTTTTATTTTGATGTAATTGTACACATGAAGTTTAGTTTTAGTTCAATTGTACAAATTAATCTTTGATTTAAATATTTATTAATCTAATGATCCACACACAAAAACTTATTAATCTAACAATCATAATTAAACTTATTATTCTAATTATCATAATTAATAACTTGTCTTGGTGAACTTTTTTTTAAATATATTTCTTGATCACAAATTATTTTTTAATATATTTTTTTAAATATATTTATATATTACAATTTATAAATATAAAAAATAAACTTATTAATCCAATGATCATATTTAATCATGTGCCTTAAATGGTAAAAAATATTTTATCATATTATAATATCATAAATCCATAATCTCTTAAATATCAACTACCTCATTCTTTTCTTGCAAATTATAGACTTCATCACTTAAAACTTGCAAGTCAAGTAAATGTCAAGTTGAGTCAATATCAAATCGGTTCAATACAATTTATAGGTCGAGTCAATTAACAGGTTGGGTCAAGAATAGGTTAAAATCGGTTCTCGAATCATTTAAAGTTGGGGTTTTTTCTGTTATTTACCATGTTAATCTCAAGTTCGAATTCATATCAGGTTGGATGCAGATTAGGTTCAGCTATGATATTATTAGGTTCAATTCGAAATCATGTCGTTTTCAGGTCGAGTTTAGGTCGAATTCATACTAAAATAACCAGGTCTAACTTGAGTTTAGGTCCATACCAATTCGAATTTGAATCGATTTTAAATCATCATCAGCTCAAGTTAGAAATAGTTCAAACTCAAGTTAATTTCAATCAAAATTTTAAGTCGGATCAATTTTTACACGTGTACCAATTGAGATTATTTGCGTAATATTATTCAGAGAACAACTTCTTTTAACACCACAAATTAAGTTATTACTTGTAAGCCTTGAAGTAAGGTTCGATTTTCTTCAAATCAAGAGGGTACATTAACAAGCTCCAGCAAATGACTGCTGTTTTCGTCAGGAGAGGAGCCATTTGTCATTTGTCAAGAAACATAATTAATTGGTATACCCCAAAAAGAAGAAAGTTGGTAATTTTTGTAAAATTGAAAATAAAGGAAGTAGTTGGCTATTCATTTTTTTAGAACGATTTGGTAACAGTTTTAAAAAATAGGCAAAAGGTATATGAGATCCTCGTATTTTTTAAAAGAATTAATGTGATCATCGTATTTTTTATGTTTAATATGTCCTTTAAACTTAGAAAATAGAATCAACGTGGTCCTTTGACCAATAACTTCCGTCATTAAAAATTACGATATTGACATGACACTTAACGGTATTAATGTGATAATTCAAGTAGCTGGTGATGTGACTAATGATATGATAGATGAACTAAATTGATTTTTTAGTCGAATTCGAGGATAAAATTGATTTTTTTAAAAATCAAGGGATTATTTGATTTTTCAGAAATTATTTTAAAATTTTAATTTACACTATACAAATATAAAAAAAGTTAAATATTAAAAATAAAATTAAATTACAAGAAAAATTATATAAATTAACTAGAGTGATTGAAAATGTTAATGTTAAATGAGTCATTCAATTTAGAGACAAATTCTAATATGAATTGTATTTTATTCAACAATATAATTATACTGTTATGTTCATTCATATAAATTTTAATGTAAATTTTATTTTATTTTACTTTATAGATAGAGATTTTCTATTCCTTGAAAAAATTAAAATAAAAAATATTATTGATAATAAAAAAATCTCAAACACGTGAATTTCTTATTTAATGAATTTTATTTTTCTCTTTCATGTTATATTCACTAAAATGTTCTTTTTAATTGTATAACTATTTTTCAAATATATTTTGACCTTATTAAGCTAAGGTGATTACAAAGTAATATATGTTTTAAATTATTTTAAAATTTTAATTTACACTATACAAATATAAAAAGAAGTTAAATATTAAAAATAAAAATTAAATTACAAGAAAAATTATACATATTAACTGGAGTGATTGAAAGTGTTAATGTTAAATAAGTCATTCAATTTAGAGACAAATTCTAATATGAATTGTATTTTATTTAACAATATAATTATATTGTTATGTTCATTCATATCAATTTTAATGTATATTTTATTTTATTTTACTTTATAGATAGAGATTTTCTATTCCTTGAAAAATTAAAAAAAAAATATTAGAAAAAAAAAAATCTCAAACACGTGAATTTCTTATTTAATGAATTTTTATTTTCCTCTTTCATGCTATATTCACTAAAATGTTCTTTTTAATTGTATAACTATTTTTCAAATATATTTTTACCTTATTAAGCTAAGGCGATTACAAAGTAGTATATGTTCTAAATACCCTCAACCATTTGACAATAAATGTTTAATCACCCTGCTGCAGCTGTTGGTGCTCGAACCCGTGATCTCTAGGAACAACAACAATTCCTTTAACCACTGAGATGAGTTGGTTCGTGCATTTTTCAAATATTTTTTAATTATATTTTTATGATAATTTATACATAATTTTTAATTTTATAACTTTTTAATTTTATTTTTATAAAACTTTATGATATTTATTTATCTTAATTTTATAAAAATTTAGTGAAGCTTAATTAGAAAGACATTTAGAGTTTAAGATAATTAGAGGTAAATGTATAAAATAAAATTTGTATAAGATAAACAAGTTCATGTTTATATAAATAAAAACCAAGTTAAATTCGAGGTAAAATATAATAATATATTTTTAATTTTTAATAATTTATTTTTAATTTTATATTTAGATTTTGGAATAAGTTTATATTTTAAATTAGAATATTTTTATTTTATACTAAAAATCAAATAAGTCCATAAAAATTTAGAAGAAAAACAATTTGATTTTTGAACTCAACCAAAAAAATCAATTTAGCCTATTTGCCACATCATCAGCCACGTCGCCAGCATTGTGCATGGCCACGTCAGTAATGTAAAGTACCACGTTAGCAGTGTAATGATCAACGACAGAATCCATTGGTTAAAGAGCCATATTATGTATATTTTCTAAATTTGAGGGCCACATTGAGCATAAAAAAATACGAGAACCACATTGGTTTTCTTTTAAAGTACAAGAACTTCACCCTTTTGCCTAAAAATATTGTAAACTACTTCAGATATAGTTTATATAATAAACAAGTTCATGTTTATATAAATAAAAACCAAGTTAAATTCGAGGTAAAATATAATAATATATTTTTAATTTTTAATAATTTATTTTTATTTTTATATTTAGATTTTGGAATAAGTTTATATTTTAAATTAGAATATTTTTATTTTATACTAAAAATCAAATAAGTCCATAAAAATTTAGAAGAAAAACAATTTGATTTTTGAACTCAACCAAAAAAATCAATTTAGCCTATTTGCCACATCATCAGCCACGTCGCCAGCATTGTGCATGGCCACGTCAGTAATGTGAAGTACACGTTAGCAGTGTAAGATTCACGGATAATTGAAAGTTTGGTTCTTTTGAGGTTTTTTTTTGTTTATGATGGTTTTGTATTTGGAAGGACAAATGTGTGGCTTATGGTGGAATGTAGTGTCATCAATCAATTCTACCTGAGAAGATAAACATCTAGAGTGAGTGTCTCAAAAACAAGTAGATACATTTCTTCAGTCTCAGATAATTGTAGTGTCGGAATTTGGTTTTGGTACGGGTCGAGTAATTGGCGTTGGATGGGATATGGAAGATATAATTTTACCACTTGCCAAAGATCTATAATTCTTGAAAAATTAAAAGAATATTTAATCTACTTGATACTCAATAATCTCAAGGTTATAACTTGATTCCTTGCTCATAACCATAAAAGCAACACACATTTATTTATTGCACAAAAGGTGGAGAAAGGAACAAAAACAAAACAAGTTCAAACAAGATGCTGAAAATAGAAAGTACTACAGTGGTAGATAACACTTCCACTTGTTTATTTATCATGCCTCATTATTCCTATAAGATTAAGTGTGTATTTGGACCAGGATTCTTTTCCTCATTTGCCCCCCATTTCTTGATTATTTCTTGTGTCAAAACCCCTTTGTCAACAAGCATCTCAATTTCTTTTAACAGTGGCCTATAATTGCTTGTAGAATGCCCCTTTACCCCCAAATGGAAATTACAAACACTATCTTGATCATAGCTATGAGCAAAAGGGTTTGGTGCCACTTTAGTTGGTCTTGGTGTGATGTATTGACTTTTAACCAAATAAAGATACAAGTCTGAAATAGAGGTTTGAAACACCTCCAAAGTATTTCTTGATCGCATGACTTTCTTTGGTCGATCTGAACAACTATTTACTCTTTTTCTTTTGCAGTTGCGGGGACTCTGGTTGCGATACTCATTCACATTACCAACTTTATCTCTCTGATCAATCGGGCTCTTGGATGTGACTTTTGAGTTTTCTTCACTGATTACATTCTCAATTAAATCTCCACTTGTCACAAGATTCTTGAATTCCTTCTTCGGGTTTGCCTGCATTAACTCGAAGAAAGGCGCTGGAAGGGAATCACGAAACATACGTGATATCTCTTCTTCTAACATGGGAGTTTGAACTTGTGCTGCCACTCCTCTCCATCTTAAGGCATATTCTTGAAATCTTTCATTGGTTTTCTTCTTTACTCTTCGAAGATCCATACGTGTTAGAGTTAAGCCTTTAAAATACCGATATTGTTCCAAAAATGCATCAGCTAAATCAACCCATCTCTTGATCTGTTCTTGGGTCAACTGATTATACCATACTATTGCTATTCCACTGAGGCTATCATGGAAGGAGTGAATTAACAGATCATCAGAACTTAAATATCCTTCCATTTTTCTGCAAAACATTTTCAGGTGGATTAGGGGACAACTGGTGCCGTTGTATTTCTTAAAATCTGGCATTTTGAATTCATGGGGAATAATCAAGTCTGGAACCAAGCTGAGCTCTCTTGCTTCTAATTCTTTGTGGGAGACATTAACACTTTTCATATTTCTGATTGATTCATCCATCTTCTTGAATCTTTCCTCATATTGTGAATAATTAATGAGGCTATTCATTGGGTTCGAGTGGGATGTCCCAGGGTACGTTATCATTCTCGACTCTTCAATCTGACAATATGGTTGCTCTTTATCATTTATTATCTCTTCTTTATCAGATGTCATCCCCTGAATAATTTGATTTGATCCATCTGGTACTGAATCTGATGCTTATTTCCTTATATCCTGAGGTAACCCTGTCAATTATTCTGGCCACTGATCTTGTAGTCCCTCATAAGATTGCTCCATTGTTTTCATGATGATGGTACAATAATATGAATGAATGATCTTGGTTTTACTGTTACAAAACTTTTCATAGATTATTAACATGTTTTTATAATTAATGTATATATCAATACTAAAAATGTAATGTAAATGCGAAAATACATAAATGCAAAAATAAGAATGCAAACTGTGTAATGCAAAGATGTAAAAAGTAAGAATACAAAATGTAAATGCATGTATGAAAAGGTGTTACTCAAGAGTGATCATCTTAGAATAGATTTCATTGAACACAAAAGTTTCAGTACATCAAGCAAAACTTTTACATGTAAGGGACAGCTTTTACTCCTAACTTCTCTATTTCCCTTAAAAGTCAAACTAACTTCCACTTATGCTCAGGTGTGGAGTTCTCAATCTGCTTTAATTCTCTCGTGAAACCAGCTAAGTCCACCAGCTTATGAGCCACATTGTTTGCTTGAGCAGCGGCTTCCTTCATGATATTATATTTTTCCTTCATCTTTTGCATTAACTCTCGAAGTTGTAAACAATATTGTTCATTTTTTCTTGTGAGAGAATCTTTATGTTCAAGAAGTTCTCATACAAGATCTCCATAATCATCTACACATTTCTTCAATGTTTTGTTCTTGGCCATAGTGGCTTTTAATTCAGTATCGATCTCAAGCTGGTGAATCTGATATGATGCTTCCATGTTGGTCATAGCACTATTCAACCTTTGATTGTCGACTTGATATTTTCTGGATTCCATGATAGTTGTATTGAGTCTTTCTTCTGCAACTCGTGAATTATGATAAAACTTCTTGGCTCGACCTTCATATATATTACAGTTCTTTTTTAGTTTGGTACCCCTGTTATCCACTCTTCTGGGGTGTTTCCTATGCCAGCATTTTGAAAGGCTTGACTGACCTTCTGGAAATCTTCCTGCATGGTTTCCATTTTTGTGCTCAATTTATCATTTCCAATCTTTAAATGACGTATTTGAGCCTCGAACCTCGGCAAATCTTCTTCTCTCTGGGGCCCCCTACTGATACTCTTACCTTTGAAGACTTTTGGTATTAATCTAGCAGGATCTTCGGTTACCAAACTAGGTCGATCATTTACCATAAATTGTAAGGTTCCATGATCCAAAAGACTTTGGACTCGACGTTTGAAGGCAAGACATTTCTCGATGGTATGTCCTTGAGCTCCGGCATGATATTCACAATGAACGTTGATGTCATACCAATTTGGATACGGAGATAGGAATGGTTTTATGTAATATGGAGCTACTTTTCATGCTTCAAGTACTTTTCATACAACTCTTTATATGATATAGGGATAGCATCAAAATGAGAATCACCTTTTGTCTTGGATTGAACCTGAGTTTTAGACGACGGGAGCATACCAAACTTCGATGATTTCTGATTACATGATTTCTTCTCATCTCTGGGAGCTTTTACAGTGGTCACCATTTCTTTGGTATCTCCAGACGATTTGTGAATACGAATGATGACTGTCTGTAATTTCTCAAGTTGGTTAAGATCCGAAGTCCCTTGCGTATCTGACATTGCAGGGTTAAGTTCATTGAGCTCTCTCTCTTTCTGTGCAGGAATCTCTTCTCTTTTGGCCAAAACAGATATTCTATCCATCATCTTGGACATCTTCTCTCTTATTTCTCGTATGTCCTTTTGCTCTTCAATGGGCATACAATCTTTGGGTGCATAGCTCTCCTCTATCTTCAGAGTTCCCTCAGGATGTCTTTTCTTGGCCGCATCATATTTTGTTTGATCATAAAACTTTTTGTCCATTTATGATTTCTTTCCAATATGATGAACAGTCTTTCAAGTAAACACCTTTTGGTTATGCCATGATCATGCAATATAAGCAAAAGAAATCAATATGAACAGATTAGAGCAATGTAACATGCATGAAAAAATAAGAAAAATAGAATAGTTAGTACCAACTAATGGAAAAAATCTATCTATCAAGGTATAAATCTTAACCTCATGCTTTCTAGTTCTATGCTTTGTTTGGAAAAATTAACCTAACCGCATGATTTCTAGTTCGCATGCATTTATTCAGGAAAAAGAAAAGGAAATAAAATAAATTAAAAACTAGAGCTTATTTCTCCTTTGTGTATACCTACTGACAAAATTTTGGCATGGTTTCAGATCGAGAGAGTTTCTAGGGTTTATTATATGCAGGTTTTTAGTT